CCAACGTCCGGGACAGGCCTGAAGGGACCCCAGCGTCTGGGGCCCCATGGAGGCCGAGGTCCATTTTCCCCCCTCCGAGATGCTGGGGTCCCTCAGACGCCCATGTCCCTTTAGGCCTTTCCTGGATATCTGGGCCCCCCAGATGCCTGGGTCCCTCTGCAGCCCTGCGCACGTGCGTGTGAGTCCACGGCCAGCTCCCTCGTGGCCCCCACGCGAGGGATGTGAAGGGCACCCAGGTGGGCTTCCATAACTATGTCAGCATCACAGCCATGTGGGGCAGGGGACCCGGCGACCAAGGGCAGGGAGGACACTCAGCTCTTCAGCACCTCCTCTGCCCCATTTTTTACTGGTGAGGTGTCACCATGGCCTGCTACATCCCCAGTCCTCCCAGCAGCAGCCATGGGAATGAAGCATCACCCACTGGAGAGGGATGGAGGCAACTGAACCTCACCATAAACCTATTTTCCCTTTGAGGATGGTCAACCATGGGAAGGGGCTGGTGAGAGGTGTTGAGTTGTGGTGTTGCCATCCATGGAGTTGTCACAGATGTGGCTGGACATGGTCCTGAGCCACCTGCTCTAGGTGGCCCTGCCCGGAGTAGGACAGGCAGCATGGGATGATGTTCAATGTCTCCTTCCAACATCAGGGTTTGGGTCACTATGTGAAGATCCCATTTGGGTTCACCTCAGCCAGGTGGGCCCATCACACACCCATGGGACCAGAGAGGCTGCACCCATGGGTGCTGGAGGAGCTGGCCCATGTCATGCTGAGGTTGATCTCCATCACCTTGGAAGGAGCAGAGCCATCAGGGAGGCTCCTGATGGTGGTGAAAAGGCCACCATCAACACTGGCTTCACTCACTCCACCACAGTCCCCAGGAAGGGAGTGCAGCAAAGCCTCCTGGAGCTGCTTCAAGGCATGGGAAGGACAACCAGGAGTCAGTGAACGGGCATGGACCAAGTTGGGGGGGAAATGTCTATCCATCCTTGTCACCACCTGTGAGAAGGTACATGGCTGCATGCACAAGGGGATGGCCACAGATGTTGTGTGCATCACCAGTATGAAAAAAACATACAATTTTTATGAAAAAACACTGTAAATTTTGGAAATTAAGACCTTCTTCAATTATAGATGGTATATGGAGAGGTTTTTTTTGTTCTGGGGTTTTTTGTTTGTTTGTTTGTTTTAATTCCTTTCCCACTTTTGTCTAAAATTGACATTCAGAACTTAATCCAGTTGCCCCCATAGAGGGGGTTTTTATGCCTCCAAGATGTTCTGGGGGAGCTGAAGCCCCACTGGGGCTGGGAAACAGAATCCAGGACCTGCCAGAGCCCTTGTGGAGCACAAGCTGGTCCCAGGCCAGGTGCCTGTTGCCAGTGCGATGACTGCTTCATCTCTGGTAACAGGACGGGGAAGTCTGGACAATTCAGCTGGGTGTGGACATCTGTGCCAGCAGTGTCCAGCATTGGAGGAGGTCAGCCTCGTATCTGCCTCCTTTATGACAGAGTCACCTGTAGTTGTGGGAGTGGGGGTGGATGGAGGAGAGATGCCTGGAAGAAGTCATCATCGCACAGATCTGCTCAGACTGGGACAAATGTGTCCATTCCAGACAGCGTTTTTGGCCCTGTCACTCTCATTCTCACTTTTGGCTGAGGATGCCCATCACCTCTGCATGTGACCTGTGTGACAGAGTATGACCCTGTCCAATTCAATGTCTTGAATCTCACCGATCTTTCAGGCATTTCCTAGATCCTGATGCAAATGGTCATTTCGGAAGTTGTCTGACATCAGACTCACTGGACAGCTGCATTTCCCACTCTCCACCTAGTTTTCCTCCTCCAGTTCCTCTTTCTTCCTGCAGAAACATCTCAGCTACTGAGGTGCTGCTCGCAGCTTCAGTGAGGTTAATGCTCACCTGGTCTTTCAGTTGTTCCCCCAGTTGCCTCCTTTGCCAAATCCTTAATTGTATTTGTATCTATCCTCTTCTATGTATGCATCTATCCATCCATCAATCTATCCATCCACCTATCTATCCATCTATCTGTCCATCCATCTATCCATCTATCTATCATATTGCCAGTGAGGTTATCCCCTGTGGAAAGTGCACTTCAGAGGAGGCAAGTTGGACTTTATGGACAGCTGAGGAACACATTTTCTTTTTTTATTGAACTATGACTTCATTTTTTTTCCTGACCATTAAGGAAGAGCCTAGTGTGACTGTGCGCAGCGAGTTCTCCAGGTAACGCATGTGAGAATTGATGCAAATGAGCTGTCACCGTCAGCTCAGTGAGAAAAGGTTGGAGTTTTGAAAGAGTGAGGTAAAGCCCATGTCGATGATGAAAGACCTGATGGGGTTGGGGTGCATGTGGAGAAAGACCATGCATGTGCTGTCTGACCTCAGGGTTCTTCCTTTTCCTACATATCCAGGCTTTGTTAGGAGACCCTCAGGATCAACATCAACTGGAGCATGTTGATATCACTTATTCTGATAGTTAGAAATAAGAAAAGCAGGACAAAAAGGGCATCTTTGTTTATTGCTGTTCACTGTAGAATGTTCCAATTTTGTACAAACAAATCTCTCCAATTAGCCACACAGAACTTGCAGAACTGAAGATAATTATGCAGAGACAAGGCTTGTCAACATTTTGTGTCTTTGTGAGCCCTCTGGTGCCAAGTCCCTGAACTGCACACACTGAACGAGGTTGAACAAGCTTCTGCAGAAGCTGGAGCCAGCAGCAAACCCAAGAGTCTGTGAGACCCAAGAGCCATCTCTGACGTGGCCATGTTGGGAACCAGATGTCAAGGTGTCCCTCCCGAGGTGGTCAGAACAGAGAGTCGGGGGCCTGGTTACACTGGGGAAATGAAGTGTCCTGATGGCTCTGATGCCACCCAAGCCCTTGGAGTGATGCTCCAAGCTGAATGGCTGAGCCCAGTCCCCCACCCTGAGAAAGGACCATCCTTGCCACCATGGATTGAGGTTGCTGGTGGCTCTCAGCCTGGCCATGGCCCTCAGCTGTCCTCACTGCTGTCTTCTCCACAGGCATGGCTGGCAGGGAGCACAAGGGCTTGCAGGCCTGGGCTGAAGCAGCTCAGCTGGGAGAGTGTTAGACTGAAGATATAAAGGTCCCTGGTTGAAGCCCTGGGCTGAAGTAGCTCAGCTGGGAGAGTGTTTGAAGATATAAAGGTCCCTAGTTGAAGCCTGGGCTTTAGCAACAGGAGGTTCTTGCTGATTCTTCTTGGTCTTTCGCGGAACTGCTCTGTCTTCTCCCAGCCTGCCCCAACCCTGGTCATATCCCACACAGAATGGAGATGGTCATGTGCCACCCCACAGCTGGGGGGAGA